CACACACACACACACACACACACACACACACACACACACACACACACACACACACACACACACACACACACACTTATCCCAGCATGTGGGAGGTTGAAGCAGGAAGATTTCTACAAGTTCAAGGCCAGATCAAGGATGTGTCTCAAAATCAACAACAAAAGAATCCTTAGTAAAAATATTGAAAGTGAAAATGTACAGGTCACAATTAAAACATTGATCTCAAATGTCATTTTTGTTTTGGGGAGATAGGGTGCAGGGTGAAGGGGAGAGACTTACTATGTACCGTGGCTGGCCTGGAACACACTATATAGACCAACCTGGCACTAGGCTGGTCCTGAACTCAAGATCAGGCTGCCTTTGCCTTCTGAGTTATGGAAATAAAGACACACACCACCAAGTCTAGCTTCAAATTTCATGTTTTAACTTTAAAATTATTGTAAATTTTGAACATTAAAGTAAATTTTCAGTCTCCAAAACTTTTTAGTGTCCCAAAGACTTTGCAAATTCAATAAATTGACCACACCTGTATATGAGCAGCATCTGTATCTTCATTAAAGCCCAGAAATGTAACCTGAATAAAAGAGAGATCTCCATGAGTTTACTTTTTAAAGTCTTCTCTCAGAGTGTTGACTAAGCGCAGTAAGCATGCTGAGTATATTGAGCAGGCAGTGTCTCCAATGACCAAGCTTTTCACCACACTGTAGCTCTTGAACCTCATCTCCCCCATCCACCTTTCCCTCTAGCAAACTCACCCAACTTTACCCTCAAAAAAAAAAAAAAAAAAAAAAAAAAAAGCGTGGGGGGTGGTGTCAGCTGGTCACTCCTTCACTTTTTTGATCTATCAGGTTTTCACCACAATATCTGACTCCTGAGTCTTTATTGGTAACAGAACTTAGCATAAAAACAATATTTGCCACAATGTGGGGCACATATATTTAAGCACAGAGCAGCTGGTGTGCTACCTGGCAGGAGACTGGATAGAAATGCCTGCCACAGTACCATCTCAGCAAGTTCCAGAATGGGAGCAGGTAAATGCAGCTCCAGGATGCTGCCTACAGCATGAGGTTAGACTCTCATGGAAAGGCAAACAGCAGCTGCAGCCAAGAACCAAAATCAAATCAAACAAACAAAAAAACTTTAAAAATGTGCCTAGAAACTGAATAAAGAAAAGAAAATGGGTATAGATAGTCATAGAAAAAATAGTTTAAAAACAATGAAGTCCTTAAAGAGAAAATAAAGTAATATAAGAAGAATAAGCTATATAAGGATGGGAAATATTATAACACAGAACATCTGGATTCTATATAGTGCTTTATTTTAAAATTTTTAAATACTAATAAGCAAAAAACAGCTGCTCAGAGACATTAGATAATGGACACTGCTGAATTAAACCAGCTTATATTTTTGTTGGGGTTTTTTTGGTTTTTTGTTTTTGTTTTGTTTTTTCGAGTCAGGGTTTCGCTGTACTGTTTTGGAGGCTCTATCCTGGAACTTGCTTTGTAGACCAGGCTGGCCTTGAACTCACAGAGATCCACCTGCCTCTGCCTCCCGAGTGCTGGGATTAAAGATGTGCGCCACCAACGCCTGGTCCAGCTTATATATTTTAAGGATGTTGTAACTTCAGAATGGAAGTCAGGAAATGTGTTGTTTTGGAGAGGTTATGATTTTGTTTCCACAGGAAACAAAAACCTATGGATTCCTTCAAAATTAATGAGGATCAGATTTGACCAGAGAAAACCTGAAAATCTTGGCTGCAGACATTAAGGAAGAAACCAAGAAAAAACTACAAAACAGTAAGCTGATTTGTATAAGCTGATCTCTCAATACAGGAACAACTCTGAGACTGGAGGTGACATAATAAATCTTGTTGGCTAGTCTACTCATGACATCCTTTCTTATGTCACAGATGGAGACTGATGTTAGTTTGGTTATGCAGTCCAAAGAGACTTATAAAGATGACACATGCCTTTTACCTCAAACAGAACAGAAAATCATCTTTAGCTGACTTGTGCACACTGTACATTCCATACTTGTGTTAATGCAAATATGCACGTTACCATTAACAGTTTGTGTTTTCAGAAAAAAAAAGTCCAGACATCAATGAAGACAAATATTCTGGGTGAGCCACCCTCTCAGAATGCCTCTGTTGCAGTTTCCTCAAAAATCTGCATCCAGAACAACATCAAAGCTGCTAGCTGAGATGGTCCAGCCTCACAGACTACTCCAGCCAGGATTTTGAAATTGTTTAGGGGGTTAACTGCAGGTTGTTATGGTCATGGTCAGAGAAGAAGCTAAACAAAGGAGTTTAGACTAAGGGATTCCTTTCTTTTTCTCTATCCTTCTTTCTTATGTAAGTAAAAGGGGACATACAGGAATGATAGCAAAAATGGTAGATTATTGGATCTACTTTTAAACTATAAAAGCAACTACTAGTCTTAAATATTTTACATTGATATTTATTTTTGTATTCTGATACATATTAAAGATTATTTTTGTTATACTGTTTATGTTTCTACTCTTGTTTAATGTATTTTTGTGTATTGATATAAATTCAAGATTATTTTTGTTAATAACATACTGTATGTTTCTTCTCCTTTAAGGTGTTATACCTATACAGCTTATTTAACAATGTAATGTAAAGTTCTAGTCCTTGAAAGCTATCATTACAAATTGTTTAGAATAATTAAAAATGCAGGTTAGTAGTTAGTCATCTATAACAATCAAACTTATACTCATGTTAGTATGTTTTCAGGGTTAAACAGATACATTTCAGATAGATAGGTGGTCTTCAAACACTTCAGACATCTACAGAATATGGCATTTAAGATGTTTCAATAACATAAGCCTTTTCATAACAGTGAGACAGGCCTGCTCCTGGCAGCACCAATTTACTTCAAAAAAAAGATGATGTGCATTGAAGAACCCCCATAAGGAGTTTGTTTTCTCTGTGGAAAAGCTATCTACTGGACACAAAAAACTGCTCTTGCCTTGACTGCTGACAGTATATTGTCCAAAGGGGAAAAGGAGGAATCAAAGGATGCCAACTGCCAAACACTGCCAAAACAAGGTAGGCCAGTCCTTCAAAATTCTTGCTTCACAGAACAGTTTGTAAGATAATCTAGGCCTGTAGGCTGAAGATGGGTGTCCCAACATTGTAGAGAAATCTTCGGTGACTGTCCAGGCAGCCAGCTGTTCTGTCATTAATTTTGGAAGTTGTTTTGTTCTGTACTTCCTGTTTACTTAGGTAATATTTTATCCTTTTTGGGTTGAAGACTAGATAGTTACACCATCTTTGTTACCAAATTCAGAAAAGAAACTTACATAATAAATGTAAAATTTATAAAGGCTGAGAGATATAAGAGTTTAAGTTGTTCTTCTAAGAAAATGTTTTAAGGTCAAAAAGGAATTTAAGTTACAATAGAAAGTGATTTATATACTGTGAAGATGTGTCTCTGCCAACACACCTTCTGACTGGTTTAACAAAGAGCTGAACAGTCAATAGCTAAGTAGGAGAGGATAGGTGGAACTTCTGGGAGAAGTTGAGGAGAGAGAGAAGAACTTGAGGGAAGAATCTGAGAGGCAAGGAATTCACCAGCCAGACATGGAGAAGAAAGTGGGGCACAAGGCACTGAGCAGAAGTTAACAAGCCATATGGCAGAACATAGATTAACATAAATGGGTTAAATTAAGTTATAAGAGCTAGCTGGGAACAAGCCTAAGCTAAAGTCAAGCTTTCATAATTAAAAGAAGTTTCTGTGTCATTATATGAGATCTGGCAGTTCAAAGAAAATCCCGCCAGTTTCTAACACATTATAGCTCTTGAACCTCATCTACCACTCACCTTCCTTTCCCTCTAGCAAACTCACCAAGTGCACCCTTGAAGCATAGCTCAGCATCCCTACTCACCCCCATCCCCACTGCCATGCCCTTTTACTCCACTATCACTGTACTCATCCACTGTCGTGCCATCTGCCCATGCTTCCCAGGGTTGTTAGTGGATGCCTTCAGCCTGCCTTCATTTTCATTCAACTCATGGTCCCCCTTTCTAGGTCTAGCATGTGCCCTGTACATGACTGCTTAAGGCTCTTGTAGTGTACCCCCTTGATATGGCTCTCTTCCTTGGACACTTCTAGGTCTGGATCCTCTTTATTCTGCAAGTTCCTACTCCAGCAGCCTTCTCAAACAAACCTTCCTTGTGTAGATCTCTCAGGTTCCTTTCTCACTGGGTGTGGTTCTACCAACATTCCCTTCAACCCCGTACTACTACTCCCTACATAAGTTCATAGAAATGGAATTTCTATGGACTCTCCAATGGCATGAGAAAATATACTGTTAAGTAAAAAGAACAAATTATAAAAAAAACACATAAGACACACATAACTTCTTCCTTATTCTTAAAAACATATGCATGAAAAATAATATTGAAAAGCAATGAACCAAATTAGTTAGCAGTGATTAACTGGGGAGTTTCATGTGACCGTATTTCTTCCTCACTTCCATCCTCTACCCTTCTTTCTAACTCACAGGGTAAACAACACTTTCTTTTTAAAAATTTCAGCACTCTAATGTCTCCATAAAGAATACAGACTGAAAATTTATTTTTTAAACTTATATTTATGTATTTGTCATCATACTAGCACCTTTCCCTTTAGGAAAAAATAGTGAATTATCTACCAAGTTAGTGCTGTGTCTAGAAATACAAAATATTTAAATAACAACAATTAACACACTGAGGAGAAGTGGGATACTTAAAATGTAAGACTACACTGAATACCCTAATTTCTTTCTGATGACACAGAACAGAAGCTGCTCAGAATCTAAAATTACCCTGGCACTTAACTCTAATTAATTATGGCTACTAATCCAGTAGAGTGTTAGGTACCCTCTAGGTATCTGGCAAACTGTTAACCTGTAGAAGCCTGTCTTTTATAACATTTCCAGGCACTATAGCTTCCCTCCCTAAAACATGGGCACTTATTTCTTTCCTTTTTTCAAACAGATATTTATGTTCCTAGATTTCATACAATCATATAACCATGCACTTATGTATTAAATAAAAGAAGTAAAATTGTCTAGAGGAACAGAGATTAACAGTAGAGAAGGATGTAAAAAGGGAAATACTAGAGTATAGGGGAACAGATATGATATACAATATATTCCTGTAAGAAAACTTAAACAGAGCCAGGCAGTGGTGGCACACGCTTTTAATCCCGACACTCGGGAGGCAGAGGCAGGCGGATCTTTGTGAGTTCAAGGCCAGCCTGGTCTACAGAGTGAGTTCCAGGATAGGCTCCAAAGCTACAGAGAAACCCTGTCTCGACA